GTGTTTGGTTCAGTCAGGGATTGACCAATGAGAATTACGGGTTGTTAATACTTAGGCTAGTGATTGGTTCTATGTGGTGTTAATAGTAATACCTGAAGCATAGTGTTAGTGTATTGGTTGTTGGGTTTTTATTTGAGTATTTGGAGATACTTTGAGAATAGATTAGTCTAGGGGTTACAGTTGCCGAGCAGGGCTCTTGCAATATAACATAGGCGTTGTAGTTGAGCGTGATAGTACCGCTGACTAAACGCGACGTGACAGACTACCCATTGTTTAGCACTACCGACGTAGCGACAGTATTGGCATAGATACGTTAGGTTAAGGGTCATAACAGACAGTATTGCTGTGTAGATTAAGGCATTATTATTGTTGACTATTTGTGATATAGTAACATTATTTTGTTTATTTATGTACAACTTTGTTGTTGTTAATGTTTACTTGTTACCACGAATATATATAGATTTAAACCTATTTGACCTGTGTCTCGCTTGGTGTTCTATTGTATGTCGTTACTATGTGCACATTTGTATGAAATCGGAAGTCAACGGTATCCCCTCGTTCCCTACCCTGAGATAAATTTATTTGGAATCTAAACTCTCGTAAATATTGGTAACATATACATATAGTTTGGGAAATACATTAGATGGATAGATCAACATACAAGCATAGTGTAAAAAAATAAATACTGGCACATTTTACATAATAATCACAAATGCTTTGTTTTTCACAATCCTATATTATTGCTTACTTTCAACATCAACACACCAAAAAAAAAAAAAAACAGTTATTTTCAACATCAGAAATAAATTATCTGTTTCCTGGAAGGTGGGGAGAAGGGGTTGGGTAAAACTTTATTTTTATGCAAGTGAGCTCAATAGTATTTACTTCTATTCAAATTTTGATTTTTGATGTATCAAAAAATATTCTGAAAACTAACTTTGATGCCACACATGATGTTGTTCACGCATACTCAGTATTCTAACCATTAAATTTTGTTTTATTTGGTATTATGTAAATGACAAACGCTGTATATTTTAAAGCATCAGCTATGTCAGCCGACCTATAGCAGATATTGTTTTATATTACCTTTACAATCCTTAGCAACAATTGCATCACCATAGTAACCATCAGCACACCTTTCACAATTATGTCCTGCAGTGCCCGGTCTGCAACGCAGACACTGACCCGTGAAGGCGTCGCACTGCCTTCCGCCATCACTAGGATCTACCAACTCGTTGTTGTTACATTCACATGGACGACATCCTTCACCACCGATAATGGTTGGGTCTCCATAGTAACCTTCAGCACAGCTATCAATAAAAAAAATCAATGAGAAAGACTTTAGCGATACCTAAAAAACAAATAGTTTCCCTTCTGTACTTGGGATGCATTTGATTTGAGGACACTAAAAGGGGGAGTGAAAATGAATAAAGGAAGGACGAACAATCTTTACAGAACTTGCTCATATATAGGACCCCCCATTTGCAATTGTTCTTGTCCAACATTTCCACTGCCAGTTCATGCTGAACATGCTATATAAAAAAAATTCACTGTTCTTTTTGAGTTGACTTAAACATGAACTAATCTATGTATATTATACAGTGACATGAAGGTGGAAATGATATGTAAATAGCAACAGTTATAATGTGCAGTCATGTGATCAACTGACCAGTTTTCTGTAGGGACCCTTTTTGGCAAGCATACACTGTATGTATACAGAAAATTATAAACTGAAACTATTTTTTAAGAATTTGTAATTTGGTAAAAAAAAATTCACATTTCATAAAGAAAGTTTGAAAACGAAGGAAATTTGTGGCCACAACATTTTGGTTACCCCTAACCCTAAGTCACCTACAGGCACATTCAATCATGATAAAAATCTTATTTTTTTTGAATTCCTCCCTCACAATCAACATGACCCAAGTTGATTTTTTCTGATTATTTTCTGACCCAGGATCCCAACAAAATCCAGTTAGGGGGGCACACAATGCTTATAAAAATTAGCATATCAATACCTTGTACATCTTTCACCAGTGTATCCTGGTAAACACTCACAGCTTAGTGTCTCCCCACCTGAACCAAGTACACAAGTAGACGCATAACTGAAAGAAATGACATGATACAAATAATTTAGTGATTAATCTACAGTTGGTATAACATATGAGCAACGTATGTGTTAAAAACCAACTGTCTTATGTGACCATTGTTTCATACAAAGTATAAAAATCAACAAAACTTTTTTCAAAAATATTGATTACTGTGTATGTGTGAATGAAAAGAACACCTAATTACCAACATCGTCAGCAAAGTCGCTAATGAATCGCCTGTGCTGATTCAAACTGGCGTCTGGAGATCATTATCAAATTAGGCCATCCCATTGTCAATAGGAGGCCAAGATACTTTTAGAGAGGGACATAATTGGTATATGAATTTTTCATAATAATTGTTATTGTCGTTGTAATTGTACTTTATAATTTATTACATTAAAATAGCGCAAAACGAGAAAAATTACGGTAATTTAGCATAAAGAAACGATTTGAGAGCGTGCCCTGTCAGTAAATACCATTGCCTCCTTTTGAGAATGAGGTGGCCTAAAATTTTTCAAATTGATAACTAACTCCAGACATCAACACAGGTGATTCGTCAGCAAGTTTGCTGATGATGCTGGTAATTAGATGTTCCTTTCATTCACGCCTCCACAGTGAAAAGCAATAGCCAAATGCAATGTTAATCCGATTTAAGATTAAAAAAAAACTATACAAAAATACTAAAAAATGTGCACCAAAATTTTAGAAGAATGTTGATGACGTTCACTTACTTGTTAATTTCTGTTGGATATGGACATGAACATATTTGGCAGTCATATGGAGTACCATTCGTAGCATCACCAACATAACCAGTTTTACATTCCCCACAATTTGGACCTGCTGTATTGTCTTGACAATCCTGTCAGAAATTAAAATAATTAAATTATTGTTACCGTAGTAACTTAGAGTCAATAAATAAAAATAACAATAAAAATAAAAAAATAATAAAAAATCTGTGCACTGTGCAATATACATGAATTTTGGCAATTACCGGGTATTTATTTGCTATTAAAGGTTTAGTACCAGGATATCGCAAAATATGCAAATAGGCGTATAAACCGATACATAGCGGAGTGTATATTTTTGGTATTTTTTTTATTATTATAATACATCTTTTCTTTGCTTTCAATTATATCAGAGATATCAAACCAAGAATACCAACAAGAAACATTTTGCGTTGTGCAAACATTTACATTCAGTGACTGTCAGGATTTCATTCTAATGCTCCTATGTTCAATTGGAATAAAAGAAAGTGTTTGACTGTGACGTCAAATAATCAGGAATGCATCCAATTTTGGTGATGTAGTTACATCATATGATATGAAGAACTCAAACGTTGGAACAATTACAGATATATTAGACTTTTTCAGAACCATACCAGTAAATTCTATTGCGTTCAGAGTTCTGAAATGTTTTTTACCATTATACTATTGACAGAAACTAATGATATATTAAGTCTTTCATAAGTTTGACCTCTGGGGAAACGGCAAACATATCGCATACATTTTTTATCATCTTGACTAATCAGAAAATGTCACTTGACAAATGAAGATAACACTCACCAAGCAAGTACCAGTCTCTTGATCACAGATATCAGAATGGCCATTGCACTCACATTGTACACATACGCCAAGATACGCACCACTACTGACTCTGTAGTATCCATCCTCACATTTCTATACAGCATACAAAATAAGAAATCGATAATACACTGTCTAGTAAGTTTGGTAAATAAAAGACTTGGTATATGGGTATTTCTGTAACTTTATTTTTTATTTCACACGAAGTAAATACGAGCTGATTTTACACAATAGAGTACAGACAAAAACTGATAAAAACAAAAAAACTGAGATGTGGGCTGTGGTACTTTGTTTTTTAATCTAATTAATTATTCAGCCCCCTCAGAGCCCATAACCATGTTCCACACAGTTCCTAACACCAATTCTCTTTTTTTTGTATAGTAATTAAAAGTGTGTAGTAGTTTTTTTTTTTATTTGTAGAGAAAAGACAAACTTGATAAGCACTTTACCTCACATGAGAGTCCCTTATAGTTGGCAGGACATCTGCACTGTTCAACTGTTTCTGCTGGACGCTTTGTTCCTTTTTTTTTCATAGCAACATCGAAGGAAACAAAACTCAAACTAAAATTGGAAAAACAAGTGTATTTAAAATTACATGTGTTGTAATGTTACATAACTTACTGAAAGTAACATTCTTGGTTCTGTCATAATGGAAAAATACAATATAGAAAAATGTGTATGTGTATGTGTACAGAAAAATATATTTTATAATTATATGCAAATTATCATAGAAATCTACAAACAAATATTAAATTGCCAGTTCTGAGAGAAAAATTATTACTTGACATAGTGTGGCAATTTAATTAGATCACGCGTTAGATGCGTGAATGTTAAAGGGGGGTACTTTGGAAACCGTGGCAACAAATTGAGTTAAAGAAAAGAAATACAAACCAAAAATGAATTACAAGAAATAAAAACATAATTAAAATACCCAAAATGACAGAAATGTAAATTAATTTTGACCATAAATCTTGGGACTTTACCTTGCTTCTTGGATATTTGTCATATATTGCGCTCTTATGTGTAATTTAGTGAGGTCAGCTAAGGTCATCATTAATTCCTCACGACTAACTTGACCACCACCAATACTATGCTGGAAGCTACTCTGTGAATGAAAAAATGAGAAGAGTATAAGAAATCATAAAATGTGTTCATAGGTCTAAAAAGTTCAGCACTAAGTATATATAATCTTTCCACCACCAGACTTCCTCGCCAAAATTTTTCTCCACTTTTTTTCTTATATTCTTCAATATTTCTGGAAATGAACCCTAATTTTGGAGCCAGCAGACAAAATTTGAGTCAATGTTCAGTTTTTACTCAAAACTTTGGCTTTTTTTATCCCAATCTTCAGAAAGAAATTGCAGACTATAAACAGGACTTTTTTTGTGAATTTGTGATGAAATGAGGGAATTGTTGGTGAAAAGTATCTTCCCAATACATTAAGTTAAGACCTCTAGCAATGAAGTGAAAATAACAATATACAAAAACCATAATTTTTTTTATTGACAGACGGCCATAACCTCGATATCAATAATAAAGTAATAATGTATAAAATTCAATATTCAATATTTATAAATATTATATAATCCTATGATATATTCTCTTAGATAGACATCAGCAGACAAGAGTGAAAAAATTGAAAATTGAAGTCAGTTATTCTAAATCAGAATTTGTCTAATATATAACTTTTGCGTGAAGTTGGATTCGAACCTGTTCTGAAATTGTGGAAATATATGTACTTGATATTGTTTTGGTGTGATTAAGAAATAATATGCTTCATTTTGATAATTTGTTTGAACTAAAATGGCCGCCATTTGACCATTTTTGAGTGATGTACAATGTATGTGTGAAGTTTGAACAGTCACAGAGGTGAAATTATAGGTTTGGATTCATAGACTTTGTTCGAACAGAGACTTAATGTCTAAAAAATCAATTTGAGCAAATTCTGTGAATATGAAAATATGGGCTACACTGTAGAATACTTTATTTTAACTGGAAATAGTTTTCACTGAAAAGACATTTTGGGTGTTTTGTATGGAATTTATTTTCACTGATTTTTGATGAATTGAATGTGAAATATAGGAAAATAGTATGTTATTTTTCATTGAATCATTCCTTCAGGGAAAATAAAGTATTTTAAAGTATATCAGATTATACGGTAGATGTACCTCAAGGATGTCCACAACCACTGTCAATGTCACTCCTGCTACAGGTTGAGATGGTGCAGAATATACAAGTTCAAAGTTATTACCCTACAAGAAAAAAAAAGTATCATATCAGTTGCAGACAATCCACTTAATATTGAAAGGGGGAGTGAATTAAAGCAAAGGAAATGTTGCAAAAGCCGTAGGCATCAGTAGAGTGGCTTATTGCAAGTGGAAATGTTCTAGGCTAACTTACCGAGAATATAACATCTGGTCTCCTCATAGGCCGTACTGAGACGTCATTCCTCAAATTACGATAAGTTATCGAGTATTCCAGAACACCACCGTATGAAGATACCTGAAAATGCAAATTAATCACAGAATATCATGGGCTTTCATACGAATAGTTTGCTTTAGATAGAACGTCACAGCCAGACTGGTACAGCTCTTAAATAAGTTGTTTGCATCTCAAAGGCATATTAAATTATACAACCAATGAAAATGGTTCAGGGAATGCAAATCAATCGAAACCCAGATGCAAATATGGTACAAAACTGGAATATACATAATACCTATTATACTGAACTATGAACTTGAACTTTTATAACTTTTTACCTTGTTTCCACGATAATCCTTTGGTGCAACAAAATAGATTGCCTGAGCAGGATCATCTCCTGAACCAAGAACTTGAATATTAATGACATTATTCCTCACAGTCACTCGCCCATCAGCAAAGTTGGTTGCTGTCCAATCATTCATTGTTGTTATCTAAATATAGAATTAACATATTGTTTGCATATCATTAATATATCATCTTGAAGTCATTTCAAACTCAAAACTGAGTTTTGTATGCAGAATCCCCTGAGATTCTTAAGACAGGAAGTAATTGAGTTTTGTGAGCAGGATTCACTGGGATTCTTAAGACAGGAAGTAATTGAGTTTATTGAGCAGGATTCACTAGGATTCTTAAACAGGAAGTAAATTGAGTTTTGTGAGCAGGATTCACTGGGATTCTTAGGACAATAAGTAATTGAGTTTTGTGAGCAGGATTCAATGGAATTCTTAGGACAGGGAGTAAGTGAGTTTTGTGAGCAGGATTCAATGGGATTCTTAGGACAGGGAGTAAGTGAGTTTTGTGAGCAGGATTCAATGGGATTCTTAGGACAGGAAGTAATTGAGTTTTGTGAGCAGGATTCACTGGGATTCTTAGGACAATAAGTAATTGAGTTTTGTGAGCAGGATTCACTGGGATTCTTAGGACAGGAAGTAATTGAGTTTTGTGAGCAGGATTCAATGGGATTCTTAGGACAGGGAGTAAGTGAGTTTTGTGAGCAGGATTCAATGGGATCTTAGAACAGGGAGT